TAATAACAAAAAATAATCCTAAAAACAACTAAATTTAACATTTTAACCCCTTTTTAAACCTATATGAGAAGAAAACCATATTTTTATATATTATTCCAATATTGGCGATGTGCAAGTACTTGGAGGGGATACGAGAAACGATCGTGCGCGAGTAGCGGAGAAATCTTGCATTTTTTACTGCACATTTCATAGATTTCATAAATTCATATTGTCAATTGTCATATTTCATATTCGTTTGTTTATTTACACCTTCTCTCACTAAAGAAAATGGGTTTTAGGAAATGCTGTGTTATAAATTGTAAAAATACAACAAAAAATTGTCAATTTAAGTTTTATTCGTTTCCAACTTCGAAGCACAAAGCTACTACAAAGTGAAAAGAAGATTTATATCATAAAAAAGCATAAGTAACATAACCTAAATTATGCATTATTCTTGCGCCCGATTTTAAAGTCAGTTTGAAATAAATAATAAATAAAAGTTCATTTTTAAGTGTAAATTTTAGTTTCATAACACTCACTTAGAGTTAATTTTAACCCAAAAATCAAGTTTAATGTTTAACTTTTATTTTTTTTTAAGTTTACAAAAATGCATCAAATTCAAGTTTTTCTGAAGATGCATTAAGATATATTCGCTGTCCAAAAGTTTACAAGAAAAGAATTAATTGTTCAAACGAATATGATGATATCATGGGCTTAACCTGCTAATTTATGCCTTAGCATTATTTATGGTAATTTATTTTTCTTAATTCTTCCATTCTTTTTTGACATTTGCCACTACTAAAGCTTTTCCCTTTGACTCAGTGCTTGGTTGAAAAGTTATTTGGTGATTTATTTTCTCAAATCCAGTTTTTATTATTGCATCCATATTAACAGTAATGTTGTAATTTAATAATGTATTTATTTGTATTTACACTACAAACATACAACGTTTACCTTTTAATAACATACCGACATAACCTCAATCTTACTTTTTCTTCTTATTCTGTTTTGGGGCTACGTCCTTGACAGTTATCCGGTAACCTCGATCTAACATGAAAGCGCAGTAAATTTTGCTGATTTACGACACCAGGTGTCGCTGTTCCGAACTTGCACGGTCCCAATACGCGTGGCACGCAATGTGTTAAGTTTTTGTATTATACAAAGGTTGTTTCGGATTTCAGTATTACTGTGCCATCTTCAGGAATTAGTACTTGAAAACTGATTTGTTTTCATGTCTTTCTGGTACACAGAATGCTCCTAGTTCATTTAGTACTGTTTGAAAATTACCCTTTTGGACATCTGAAAGTTTTAAACACCAACTTCTGCTATAAACCACACCCAAAACCGTCTTCTTGGAGGTATTTCCCGTGAGGTGCGATCGTTTGTAATGTATAACATTCTGCGTTTTTTATTTTAATTGAAATTTCATGTCATAGGTTTTAACGATTGATCTCTAAAAATGTAAATTTTACTACGACTGGTCAAAGACAGTGATCAATTGTATTGATCTCACGAGAATCATAGAAAATAGCAAAAATTGCGCCATATTTATTTATTTAACACCTTTATAAAAACTGAGTTTATTCGCAGGAAAATACAAAAACCGCATACGAAAGTTGCATTCTTTACCTTTAAAACACATCTTGATTTTTGTCGATAGGATCCTTAAATCAAAAGATATCGAATTTTTACCGTCGAACTAATACAAATTTTATTGAACATTGATTTCGCGCGCGTAACTGACATTCAAAATCGACGGTCGCTTCAAGCGTTGTTTGTGAGAAAACGGTTCATTATACACAAAAAGTATAATAAACATTTTTTTTTTAAATTATCTCAGCTACATTTTTTATTTGAAAAATGTTTTTACATATTCTTGGTAAATCGATTTTTTTGCATTTTTACCCGCCTACAGAGTGGTTTTAGGGGAAGCCCGGGAGTGGTAAACTTTTTTGGCGTCCTAAAACCAATATTCCTGGCAAAATTCAGCTTGTTCGTATGATTTTGAGGGGTCAACTCTCCGTCGACTGGACTATGTTGTTAAGGAGCTTTTAAAAATATAAAAATTTTCAGAGGGTTTCAATAAAAATCAAGATTATGAACTATGCTAGACTTGCATGAATTAAATTAATTTAAACTTTATTGATATTTAATTGTCTTATAATAACATGTATTCGTTATCGTTTATCTAAGTTTTTAAAATAAGAACACAAACAATTTTATTCCATAAGTGGTTTACACACTGTTTAATTCAAAACGAAAGTGTAGAAATAATATAATACCATAATAATAAATAAATAAATAATATATATCTCACCAAAGCCCGGGTGATCTACCTTCTTTTTTTATTTTTCTTTCAAGGAAAAAAGTAATTCCGGAATATACTTGGTACAGTGTAAGACTCCCTAGCTACAATCAAATAAAACTTAGCACTACATTAAAATAAAATCTCAAATGTTTCTTTTTTACAAAGGTTAATAATCTCAACACATTTCTCACCTAGTCATCCTAAATGGTTGGGCTAAAAATAGGATGGATAAAAATGAATAATTATAATCTCACAGATATAACTAGAAAAATAAACCCAACGAACATTTAAATCGAAACAATATATAAAGTTTTGCTCGAGAAATGCATCAGTTTATGACTAATAAAATACTAACAAAACTTGCTAAAAAAAAATTAGTATTATGGAAGCTCAGAAGCAAAAACAATTAAAGTTTCTTTTCAAATAATTACACTTAAGAAACTGAAAACATCATCATTAAAGGGTGCCCCCGTTAGAATAGACAAAATGCTATCACTCCTGGAATTCTTCATTTTTTATATTCTACATGGTTAAAAATAAGACTCAGTTTTAAACCATTACAGATAGTTTATACAAACTGACTCGCTTTTCCACTATTATTTAATATTTAGTTTGCTTAATATTTCATTACCAAATGTTGGTTAATAACTTTAAAATTATTGTAAATCTGATCTATTTATTTTCTGATATAATTATTTAACTGTCACATTAAATTCATTTAGTCTTTGTAAAAAGTATGCCAATATTATTCATAAATTAGATTACAATGTCTATTTAAATATTTAGTCTTCTTCTTTTTCTTCTTTTTATATAGACATGACTTTGTCTGTTTTTCAATGTGCCTCCAGTAAGTTGTCGTTCCATCGTTTTCGTGGTCTTCCTACTGATCGTCTTCCTATTGGGGAACCGTCTCTTACCATCTTTACTCTTTTTGTTGTCATTCGGCTTATATGATCGTTCCATTTTACTCTTCTATTTCTTACCCAGTTTGTGATGTTCTCCATCTTGCATCTACGTCTTATATCTTCACTTCTAGCTCTGTCCCATAGTGTCTTACCATCAATTTTTCATCTCTGCTGTTTCTAACATCCTTTTTGTTCTTTATGTGTAAGGTCTTGTTTCTGCCGCGTATGTCATCATTGGTCTGATGACTGTTTTGTAAAGTCTGCCTTCCATTTCTTTCCCGATATTTTCCTTCCATTTCTCTATATTCTTTCATTCTCTGTTATGGTGATGATAATAAGGTCGAAATACGTATTAGCGGATAGCAGATGCCCTACATTGAAATTAAATCTAAAACCATCTTTACTTGATTTCGAGTACTAGAAACTAAATTCACTAAGAATTTTTACCGTGATGAACGGCATGTGGAATGCAAATTGTAGATTCCCTTATCGACTAATTTATCAATGTGTCTGCTTTGCAAGTTTTAGAAAGCACAGTGGTAACAATTTGAATTTAATTTCGGCAATATATTTATGTTTAATTATATTATATTTATGTTATTATATTAAACAATGTTAATATAATTGTATAGTATGTCTATGATTGCCGTAAGTCAATTAAACCGGGTTAATTTTTCTGTGCACACCACATTAACAACACGGGTTCCCTTTAAAACATGGCGGAACGTCTGCGCGAACGAGATGCGCGTACTTATACAGATGATATAAATTTAGTCTTATCAAACTCGAGTAATTTCCTGCCGTGTCTTGTTGTGACCTTGATGCCGACTTCGTACGAGATGTACTTGTGGAACGTGAAGAGGTTATCATCAAGCACATCCCATCCCGAAATCTTGTTGGCGTAGTTATTGGTTGCTAGTGTAATGTCTATGTGACTTCACGAGTCACCTCTTTCAAAGGTGGGTTTTATCATTGTTTAATACAGTCAGGTTTGCAGAGGAAATCCATTCGTTCCAAATTTCCCCTCTTTTGTCGTTTCTTGGGGACCCCCAAAGAATGGATTTGGCGTTTATGTCACCAGCGATTATATAGGATGGTTGACCTTGCGACGCCTCTATGATTTTTCCAACCTGCTCTTCATACTGTGTCATGTGTATATTCGGTGAGATATAACAGGCTATAATTGCTAGTTCGTTTATTTTAATTTTCAGAATTCCGTCTTTCTTGGTAATTTTATTTATGCACACTTTATTGTTCACCAAGAATACAGCAACGTCTGATCTGTTATCGGAGATCCAACCGAATTTTTTTGAGATGTTTTTTATTTGGTTCTGGGACTATGATAATATCTGCGTCAATTTGCAGGGCTTTTGAATAAATCAGGTCGTGTGCCATCTTTGCCCTTCCAATGTTCACCTGCAGTATCTTAAGTCCTTTCCTCCCTCTCGAAGCCATTTTAAGTCGTTACAGCTAGCTCTTCTAAGTCATTAGGATGAGAGTCATCTGGGATCAGTTGGTTATTTTTGTAGAATATTATTTGGAGACAGTCCAGACAGTTCCTGCGGTCCTTCAGGGTCGGAGGAGGGGTTGATGTTTTAATTTTCCATGGAGAGTGGGTATTCTGATTGTTTATTATTCTGTGCCCAAACTAACAAAAAAGGCATCTGTCTTATTCTACGTTGTTACGGTGCTGTCTGTTCAAAATAGATCTCTTCGGTGTGATTTTATTTTTATAAATATTTTACTTTGAGAATGAAACCTTAAACCAAACCAAAACCATTTTAATTCGTGCATAATTTTTGTTACAGATCTAATGCAGTCATGGAAGACGCTGCCCAGGCAATGACAACAAATGCTATTTCTTTTGAAGGAAGCTCTGCTGAAGATTCTTCTAGAACCAAGGAGCTTGTGACACAAATCGTGGGGACCTGGCGTGAACACTTTAGCAAGGGTATATTGAATTCGGCCAGTTTTGAAGACTTATGGAAGGTAACTGTCAAGGTTACATGTTGGCATTTACTATGTATGCTTGTAAATACAATATGGAAGAAGCTTATATGGCGAGATATTATGATATCTATTTTCTGTTCATTTCTTGTAATTTTTGCACCTATTCTTATTTTTTGTCAAAAATACCAAGATGTTTGGAAAGGCCGCTTTCTTAAATTTTGTCCTAAAAAGTAAAGTATCATATCCTCGGATTTGTACAATTACAGCAGCTTACACTAAGTATATGTTTAGACATTTTACTGTTTCCTACAAAAAAATTCTTACTATAAATTTTCATGTGTAGTCCACGGCTTATAACCGATTGTCGTTACACAGTTAATTTAGTTTTCCTAAGAATTATTAACTCCACCTAGTACGAGACGTGATACCAGAGCCCAGATTGTTTATTGAGATTATAAGGCTGGTTATATCTTAAATATGAATTTTCAATTGAAAGATATGCAATTTCGCAATACCTCGATTGATATTCATTGTAATGGCATGAGTGAGATAGATGTACATTCAAGATTGAATATGTCTAAAAAGAGACAGAAACTACGAGCCCTAACAACTATATGGTGGAACAATCAGTTATTTTGCAAATAAAATACCAATTTATTGAAATTCTTTTATGTTAATTTTTTTAAGTAAATATGAAATTAACAACATTTTTTATGATATATGGAATTATTTTCACAGTTTAATTATATAATTTTTGTTGATTACTATTGAATTAGTTGTTTGATAGCCATATTTCTTGTAATTTAATACGTAGTTGTGGCAAAGTACGCTGAGGGTTATTTCTCAGGCGCTGTTTCATTTTGTGTCAAAGTGCCTCTATTGGATTAAGATTTGGGCTGCTAGAAGGATGTGACAAAACTTTAATGTCATGTTATCCCAACCATATTTGGTAGATTTAGCCGTATGGCATGAGGCTCCGTCCTGCTGAAAGATAAAATCTCCGAATGGATATAACTATGCCGCACTTGGTAAAGGCCAAGTTTCAAGGATATATTGATATTTACCTGCGTTTACTATGGCCTCAATAAAATGTAATGTTCCCAACTCTTTTGCCGACATACAACCCCACCATGATTCCCTGTGAAAACTTTACAGTTCTTTAGAGAAAATCCTTATGGAATGTTTCTCGAATTACACTTTTTGCCGAATCACACGCTTTCGATAATCTCCCACACAGACATCAAATTTGCTTTCGTCAGTATAAATAACTTTGTCCCAGTTATGTTTGGTCCACGAAAGTTTTGATTTAACCCAAATGTAACGATCCTTTTTTGAGTTTCCCTCAGCAATGGTTTTTCTTTGGCCTACTCGAATAAATAAAAAACTGAAAATTTATATTGCAAAGAAGAACCTATCAAACATACCTTATAAAAACTAAGACCGCTTTTGTGGATATATTTGCAACAGGATTCTCTGGAAACATTCATAGCAGTTTCTCTATTCCTTCTAACGGTTACTTCTCGTGGTGTGTTTCTTCTTCCCGACTTAGATAAATAAATTGAATGCACTCCTTTAAGAAATAGCTTTTGAATGGCCTGAGCTTTTTCTGCAAACATCAATACTGTCAGTTTCACATATTTATTAATGATATTAAATACCGTAATTGTTGCTACAGTCAATTCACTGAAAATTTCACGCATTGTTTTCCCTTCATGGTACTGATAATTAATAATTTCTCGAACTTTCGGATCAGTAGGGTTTCCACGTTCCATTATTATATTTTACTTGTAATAAAACTAACAGTTGTCTTTATTCATACTCAAATGAGCCATGGCAATTATTGTTGACAACGCACTACCTACTCGTATGTTTGATTTCAAATCCTTCTTTGTGTCAGGCTGATAAAATTTAAGAAACTTGAGGAAAAGCAACACATGTTCCAACATTTAGTTGTCAGCAATTTTCGATTATCAAATAATTAATTACATAATATTCAATATAAAATATATAATTAAGCCGCAAAAATAATTTCATACGCCATAAAAATGTTGTTAATATCATATTTAAAATTAAAAAAAAAAATTAAATAAAATAATTTCGGTAAATTGGCATTATATTTGCAAAATAACTGCTTGTTCCAACATATAGTTGTTAGGGGTCGTATTTATTTAATATTGAGTGGATATAGACCAAATCTACACCTAATTTAGAAAGCACCTTTATTATTTACAATTTGGAGGTTTACAATTTATAAGGTTCTTCGTGCCATCACTAATTCATTTCACATTCCGACATTTACAGGGACTTAAAGATCGAAACAGTGAAGCAAATTATCGATACATATTTTAAACAATCGGAAAAACACCTCAACGAGCAGCAAATTTATATATTGGACAACTCCACGCAACTAACCAGATTAAACAGAACTCCTCTTGACTTTATATATATATATATATATATATATATATATATATATATATATATATATATACTTTTTTCTTTTTGGGTGTGGTAGTCAATAAAAAATAGAGCTTTGCTAAGGCGTACTATTTATTTTTTATTGACTACCACACCCAAAAAGAAAAAAGTATTTACATATTTTTTCCAAACTAGTCATAAAAAATTTTGGACTACCTATATATATATATATATATATATATATATATATATATATATATATATATATATATATATATATATAAGCGAGGTGTTCCTACAGCCTCTGCCGCCTCTCGCATTTCGACCGCCATCGTTTTCTGTCCATCCATTCGTCTTCTTTGATGGCTCTATCTCTCATTATGTGTCGTACATTCTCTTCCCAGGCAACTGAAGGCCTTCCTCTTCTTCTTCTTTGTTGTGTCTTCATTCGCTTCACGTGACCATACCACACTAGTTGTCTCGTTTCAATTCTGTCTACATTAGAATCTACAGTATTTGTCCTCCTTCTAATATCTTCATTCCTGATATGATCTTTTTTGGATACACCACACGCTCTCCTTAGAAAATCCATTTCTACTACTTCTGTTCTTTTTCTATCTTTTTTCGTGATCTGCCAAACTTCTACCCCATAAGTCATAATAGGCTCTACAAAGGTTCGATAGATTGTCAATTTCGTTTCTTGTTTAATATCTTTAGACCATAGTAGAGAGTTTGGAATGTTAACCGCTTTTTTCCCTGCTGCGTTCTGTTTTCGATGTCTCTTTTGGTATTGCCTTCTTTAGATATTATAGATCCGAGATATTTATATTCCTTGCATGTTTTTGTGCTTCTAATTTCTAACTCTGAATTTCTTCTTCATCTCCTATTTTAAGATACTCTGTCTTTGACATATTCATATTGAGGCCCCATTTTTCATATTCTTTCTTTAGTTTTCTAAACATGTAGTCAATGTCTTCCTTATCATTCGCTACGACTACCTGATCATCTGCGAAAAATAAAGTTGTTGGACATTTACCATCGCCTATGTCTATTCCCATTCCGGATATTTGTTTCCTCCACTGCTCTAGCGATGATTGAATATATATTTTAAATAAGGTCGGAGATAGACAACATCCTTGTTTAAGCCCCCATTTTTATTGGAAATGATTCAGATATAGTTTCCTTCTTTAACGACACTTCTTGCATTTTTGTATATATTTTCGATAGCATCCACATACGAGTACTCTCTACTGAGACCTACTTTCGTCAACGTTTGAAACAGTTTTTTCAAAGGTACCGTATCGTATGCCTTCTCTAAATTTACAAACAATAGGTGGGTAGATAGATTCCTTGCCTTCCGTTTTTCGATTACCTGCTGCAGAACGAATATACCGTCAGTGCACGATCTTCCTGCACGAAATCCATTTTGTTCTTCTATATCTTCGTATTCTGATTCTATTCTTTTTTTTTTAATTATTCGACCGTACAACCTCCCCACTGAGCTGATAACAGTTATTCCCTTATAATTAGAGCATTTGCGTTTATCCCCTTTCTTGAATATTGAGCTGATGTATCCAATATTCCAATCATCAGGTATATTTTGGCCTTTTAAGCATTTGTTAAATAGTTGAACCAACATCTCATGTAATATTTTTGGTCCATACTTTACCAACTCAATTTGGATGTCTCCAGGTCCTGCTGCTTTACCGTTTTTTGATCTTTTGAGGGCATCGTTTAACTCTCCGGTCGGTATCTCAATTATTTGTGTGTGTTTGGATATTTCTTCCATTTCGATCTCTTGGAATTTACATCTATCCTCTGTCAGTAAGGCCTCATAATGGTGTTTTCACTGTTTCAGATCTATTAACTGTAAGTTAGATTTTTCCTTTCCTTCCCTCAGGAGAGAATTTATCACCTTCCAAGCTTGCCCATCTCTTGTTCCACCCATATATCTATCCACCTCTGCACATCTTCGATCCCACATATTATTTTTTACTTTTCAGTTCTTCTTTTTTTACGTATCGATTGAATTTTTGATATATCTTGTAATCTTCTTCCTTTCTCGTTGACATCCATTTCTGATAAACAGTTTTCTTCTTGTTGACTAAAGTTTGCATATTCACCGACCACCATTCTTGATTTTTTGTTTCAAGTTTGTATTTATAATCCAAAGCTTCACTTGCAGCCTCATGAATGCATAAATCCTCTTGACTTACCATTTAGAAAATAGGTGTCTGGATTTAGTTTTAGCTATTTTAAACATTTACTTTTAGAATATTTACAGATGCTCTGAACGTGAAAACAATCTTTCCTGTCGTAACAGAAGCAACGCTAAAATGGCTTCGGTATGGACGCAATTAAATTAATTAATTAACAGATTAAAGCAAAAATCTGAATTTGGTTTCGACAATTAGAAATCCAACAATATCGAAACAATATCGAAATGAAAGTATTAAGATCAATAGCGGACATAACATTAAGAGAAAGACAAACCAACAAGTATACGCGAACAATGCAAAATTCAAAATATTAACAGGTGGATAAAAACAAGAAAACAAATCTGGGGCGACATGTAAACCGACTGGGACCAGATAGGTTAGCGAACATCTATAAAAGCCGCCAAAAAGGTGGAAAGATAATGTACAGTCAACAACGACTGAAACAGAATAAAAGGCAGACAAACAGGAGTAATCTTAGTCGCACGAAGAAGAAGACAATTAGAAATCTTCGGATTTCGAGTTTCGTGATTTAGAATAAAATAAGTACACACAAAAATTCCAATTTAGACTAAACGTGTATAATATATAGACTAGAGAAATCATTGGTAACAAAAATATGTTTAGTATTAATGATTTAACAGAAAATAACCGTTTGTTTTTTTTAGCTATGGGTCCCAAAAATTTACAGCCCATCTCTAGATGAAAGCTGTTTAAATTGGAATTTTAATGAAGAATTAGGACAAGATATATTGATAAACACCTTGGACATATTCGTATATAATGGAGATCCCGAGATTGTGCTTCAGAAGATTACTGAGAAACCCCCATCAGTAAGTAAAAGAGAAGGCTTGTTTAATAATCAAAAGTATTAAATTTAAATGCATTATAAACGTGATACGTTATACATAGTGGAAGGTATTTTATATAAAAAGCTGACCAAAATCAAAAATTATCATTTTGGGCCGATTCTTATCCCTAAACCAGGCAGATATGACGTCTTATGGCACCACCCCTACCCAATTATGTTTTAACCATTACAGCGCGACAAACAAGAAGTGGCTTCTTGCGCGTTGGCCAAAATTTATCTTCTTCTTCGCGTGCCATATCAGATTTATCCGACGTTGGCGATCACCATTGCGAAGGCTTCTCGATCTTCTGCAATATGGAATAATTGTCCTGCATTTGGTATCTGAGTCCATTCACGAATGTTTTTTAACCAAGAAACTTGTTTTCTTCCTACACCTCTACTGCCCTCTATTTTGCCTTTAAGGATCAGTTGTAAAATTTTATATCGACTTCCCCTTACTATATGTCCCAGATAAGACATTTTTCGATGTTTAACAGTTTTTAACAGTTCTCGTCATTGTTGACGCTCCTTAGTACTTCTTCATATTAGTTTTTCTTGCTGTCCAAGTATTTTCAGCATTCGTCTATGAACCCACATTTCCAATGCTTCAATTTTGTTCATATTCGATACTTTTAGTGTCCACACTTCTGCACTATACAAAAGTACAAACCAAACGTAGCACTTCAATTGAGTCCAACTTTCTCAACTTGGACTCAATTGAAGCTTTGCATCGGGATGTGGGTCACGACTAAACACTAAAAATTTGGTTTTGTTTGAGTTTATTTTAATGCCCATTTCCTCTCCTACCTCGTGAATACGATCAAGCAGAATTTGAAGACCTTCAAATTATATTAGTATACAATTCACCGCTTCTCTGACCTTCAAGCAGAAGAGATCGAGCTCGTAACGTTAAATTAACTGCAGTGTTGTCAAGTATTTAAAGATTTATTTGAAGTGGAACGGATACATTTTGGAATTGCAATGTTCAGTTTTATTACTTTATTATTATTGTTGACTATTATTTATACCTCTTAAAAGCAATAAATGCTACCTTTATTATAAATAAAAAAAATATTTTTTACTTCAGTCAATCACAAATTATATATTATTTGCAGGAGTAAGCTTAAAATCAGTTCAAATTATAATTAAGGAAGGCCTAGAAATAAAAAACGGTAGCTCAGCTAATAATTAGTTCTCTTCCGTCTAAAAAAAACAGATAGGTACTATCCAAAATTAAAATGGATCAGTTTGACGAAGATCTGTTAAGAGTTTGATTAACTACGTTATGAACGTAGTGATCCTGTAATGGGATATTAGGCTAGTATGTGATTTGCCAGCTATAAAACCCGTTTGATATTTTCCAACTGACCTTTCTGCATACGGTTTTATACCACTACAAAGAAGTAGGTCACTACCAGTTGATAAATCTGAACTGATCCAAACAATCAGTGGTATCAAAAGCAAATCTTCCTGTAGTACTGATGGACTATCCATAAAAATTTTCTTAAATCTTCCAAATAATGTGTTGCAAGTCCTGGTCTCACTAATTAACGATTCTTTTGAAAAATGTATATTTCCAGAGTGCCTAAAAACAGCCATTATTATTCCTTTTCATAAGGGTGGTGATAAATCTAATGTCTGTAACTATAGACCTATTGCCTTACTACCGGTCCTATCCAAAATTATTGAGAGACTTTTAAAAGCCCGAATTATGTCCTTTCTCGTTGAAAACATTTTATCACAAAGTCAGCTCGGCTTTTTATCTAATAAATGTATCAGCGATGCTATGTTTTCTGTACTACATGAGGTCTATCAAGCACTAAACAATAATCTTTATACTGCTACTGTTTGTTGTGGCTGTGCCAAAGATTTGATTGTGTAAATCACGACATTTTGATAAAAAACTTAATTTCTACGGAATTCGAGGTATTTCTTTGAATTGGTTCCAATCTTACTTGAGGAATAGGAAACTACCAGTTAGAGCAAATGATACTGACTCTCGTCACAAAAGCATTGTATGTGGAGTACCACAAAGTTCAGTACTGGATCCTCTAGTTTTCCTTATCTTTATAAACGACATTTTTTTTTGCTGATGATACCAGTATTACCTGGAAGAAGTCTAATATTGCAACTCTCATGCAATTCTAACTTCTGATCTACTTAAAATAAAAACCTGGTCCGACTCTAATTTACTCTCTTTTAACTTAGATAAGACAGTAGCATTATCCTATTAAGGAGCTCTTCAACCCTTGCTTCTTAATAATAGACAGATCAGTTTAATTGATTCTGTAAAATTTCTTGGTATTTTTATAGACAGCAACCTTAAATGGTCCCTTCATATCGATTTGTTAAATAAGAAACTAGCCTCAGCCTGCTATGCAATAAGGTCTGTTTCGAAGGAAATGAATTTAGCATCTTCCAAAATAACATACTTTTCTTTGTTAGAGTCTCATCTCCGATATAGCCTTTCTTTTTGGGGTTCTAGTACAGCTGCCCAATCTGATGTTATTTTTAAATTACAAAAAAGAGCAATACGGTATCTTTTTGGCCTCAGTAGAATAACACATTGCAAAAGCTACTTAAAAAATCACGGGATTTTAACTCTTCCCTCTCTATATATTCTAGAAACTGTTTGCTTAATTCGTAAACACCTACATGTTTTTCCAGCAAGACCTAGTCATGACTAATATCCACTGAGTTAGTCATCATCATCATCAATGGTGCTACAGCCCTATGAAAGAGCCTCGACCTTCCCAAGTCTATTACGCCAGGCAGTCCTATCCATTGCCAACCGTTGCCAGTTTGCTGCGCCTATCTTTCTACCATCCTCATCTACACCATCCTTCCATCTGAGTTTTGGCCTACCGCTTTTTCTGCTTCCCACGGGTTGTGACATAAGGATTCTTCTAGGAGGGTTGTTCTGCTGTGATCTTGCTAGATGTCCTGCCCATCTTAATCTTCCTATTCTTATAAGAGATACTACGTCTTTACCACCAAATATTTGTTTATATCTGTGGTATACCTCGTAGTTGTATCTCCTCCTCCAAACACCATTTTTACAAATGCCACCAAATATTCCTCTCAGGATCCTTCGTTCAAATATAAGCAAAAGGTCTTCGTCTGCCTTGGAGATGGTCCATGTCTCCGATCCATATGTCAACACTGGCTGTATAAGGGTTTTGTATATAGTTATTTTTGTTTTTTGGCTTAAGTTTCTACTTCTCATATGTCTACTCAGTCCAAAATAGCATCTGTTTGCCATTACTATCCTTCGCTTGATTTCTTCCGTTATGGCGTTCTCTTTGGTGATCAGGGAGCCTAAGTATGTGAATTTGTCAACCACTTCAAAGGTAGAGTTATCAACCGTGAATTGGGGACCGATGTTCCTGGTTCTATTGTTGGGTGTTGATGCCATCATCTTAGTTTTCTCCTCATTTACTTGCAGGCCAATAGATTTTGAGGCATTTGAGAAGGTGGTATACATTTCTTCTAGCTTGCGTGTTGTGCGGGCAACTAGGTCCACATCATCTGCATATGCCAAAATTTGGGATGATTTATTAAAAATATTTCCTCTGTTGTCTATTCGGGCATCTCATTGCCTTTTCCAGTGCTATGTTGAAAAGGAGACACGCCAGCGCGTCTCCCTGTAGCAGCCCAACATGCGTTCCAAACGCCTGTGATTGTTCGCCCTGTATTTCGACTTTGCAAACCACATTACGCATTGTAGCCTTAAAAAAACTTATCAGTTTATCGGAAATGTGGAATTCATTCATTGCTTCATACAATTTATTTCTTAGCACACTATCATAGGCAGATTTGAAGTCTACAAAAAGATGGTATGTATCGATATTGAATTCATTGGTTTTTTCCAGTATTTGCCTTAGCACAAAGATCTGATCTGTTGTTGATCGACCAGGCCTAAAGCCACTTTGATATTCCCCGAGAAGTTCCTCTGAATATGTACTTAGGCGACCATATATGATCCTCGAAAATATTTTGTATGCTGTATTAAGGAGGGTTATTCCCCTATAGTTTCTACATTCCAATTGGTCACCCTTTTTGTGTAGCGGGCAAACGATTCCAATACACCACTCTTCCGGGATTTGTTCCTCATTCCAGGCTCTCAGTATTATTTTATATATTTGATTAGTCACAGAAGCACCTCCACATTTGATAAGTTCCGCGGGTATACCATCACTTCCTGGAGATTTATTGTTTTTTAGGTGTTTTATTGCATCTCGTACTTCTTGAATTGACGGAGGTTCTAATGGTGAATTGTTGCTTGCTCCTCCGGGTGGTTGATTTGGATTTGGATCTTCTACTTCTATAGTAAGTAGTTCTTTAAAGTGTTCCACCCTCCTTTTCAGTACTTCTTCTTTTGTATTTAGTATATGCCCCTCCTTATCCTTACATAGTCTGAGCCTTGGTTTGAATTCCTTTCTTGCGTTATTCAGAGTTTTGTAGAATTTTCTTGTTTGGTTTTCCTTATTTAATACCTCAAGTTCTTCCAATATTCTATTTTCGTGATTTCGCTTTTTCCTTCTATGAATGCACTTCTCTTTTTTTCTGAGATCTTTATATTTTTGCTGTTTTTCTCGGGTTCTTTGCTGCATCAGTTTATATGAATCGTTCTTTCTTCTTGTAATGTCCTCACACTCAGCATCAAACCAGTCATTACGTGGTGGTGGTCTTTCTGGCCCTAGAATATTATTTGCTGCCTCTTTAATATTATTTTTACACATTTCCCATTGTTCACTAATTGTTAGGTCCTCATGAATTATGTGTTTAGTTTCGATATAGTTTTGAAACCTTTCTACTGTTTGCGGATTTTTGAGGATTTCAATATTGAGACGCGTTGTTTTGGTACTTCTCTCCTTCTTCGCATTTGAGATTCTAGCTCGAATTCGTGTGCCAACTAGAAAGTGATCTGAATCAATATTGGCGCCTCGATAGGTGCGGACATCCATTAGGTTTGAGAAGTGT